GGAGTTTTGGAATGTTTACTGAAGGCAGTAAGAAGAACAGAGCTGAAATAGTGGAAATAAATATACAATTTCAACAGTTTCCAAGGATTCAAATTCCATTATCTCAAGCTACATGAAATGTGGTATTTAATCTATTAGTATACTGACGTAATCATGTTCAATTCGTTAGAAGGGAAAGTATAATAATTACACAAGAAATTCTGGTCTCTTACGTCTCATTTTCCTTTAGTTGAGTGAGGCTTTCATCCTTCTGCTCTTCTAGCTTATTGCTCACATCCTATGACAGATAAAAATAGAAAAATAAAATAATGTGACAATGGGGAGAAAGTACTTAGGATATAAGATATTATAATGAAAAGTTGCACAAAGTTTTCAGTGAGTTGGGGAAACATGTGCCAAATGCAACTGTCAGATTCATAAACTGAATTTGTATATGTAAAAAGGTAATGAAGACTACCACTTAAAAGAAATGCAAAAGAGGATGAGAGGAAGGAGGAAAATAATCCTAAGCTTGGAAGTTGAATAATATACTAAAGTTTAATTCTATAACAGATCTGCACTTAGACATGTCTACAAGTGTATGTAAATTAAAACAGAAAAAAATATATATATTGATAATTTATTCCCAATCAATGATTCAAATTTCAAACTACAACATGAAGCTTGCAACTCCTGCTTGATTTTCTGGTTATTAATGACTCACTTAACTGTTTCTCTCACCTCTGTCCACCTGGGACATATCTTTTGCAGTATTTAGATTTTATTCATTCATACCTATGTTTTGAGATCACCTGTGCTAATTGAAAGAATTGTATCCTAAACCAGTCATCAAAATTAGCCTATCAAACCATTTGAGAAAGTATAGCCACATATTCTAATTAACTCAAATCTAGGTTAATTTGGTAATTCTAGTCTTTTCAAGCAACACAGTCTAGCTTTCTCTGTGATTGTTCTGATATCAAGAAACATTTTTCATCAGTTCAGTAGTTAAGATCAATCAAACCTTGATGGCTTCCTGAAACTTGGCTGATAAATCCAATCTTAAGGTTTGCCCCTCTGTTGATACTCGTTTACATTCATCCTGGAAAACAAATGGCAACTTCAATCCTCAGCACACAAAAATCATCAACAGAAGAAGAAACAAATCATAACTCCAATATAATCAATCAAAAGAGATAATATAGAGAGAGAAGAGAGTACCATTAGCATTTTGTTTTGACGTTGTAATTCCCTACAGAGTGACTCAAGTTTATCGCGAACAGCAACAGCTACAAGAAGATAGAAACCACAAGTTTATCACTCATCAAATTGTAATCTGATATACTGGTTTGCCACACTATAATAACCACGAGTTACAAGGACAATGTCTAGAACAAGGACACGGAAACATATAAAATGTGTTTTGAGCTGCAAATTTAAGAATGCCAACACAACTTAATGGAAAACAGACTTGTGGCCATAATCCAATTGACTGCTACATGATTCATTATATATGATAAGAAGATTTAGTGAGCATGGCATGTGGGTGACAAAATGACATTTATCAATCTCGTGTATGTGATTTTACACAAAAAAAATACCTTAATTGCTTACAATCCAAGGTGTGATCTTCTTGTAGGCAAAATTTAACAGCAATGACAATATCAAATCACATTACTGCATTAGATTGGTAGCCTGATTAACCAACAGAAGCAATTCTTCGTTTCTTTAGATAAGTTTACATTTTTAATACAATACAAGGAAACATCACACATCTAATAGAACTTAGCTGTGGAGATCAATGTTGGACAGCAATTGAATATGGCAAAATTGACTTTCAAAATTGATTGACAAGTATAATTCATAGCAAAATAAGTGAGCTTCAGACTAAACAAATCAGAATGGGAAGATAAGCTGATAATATGAAATCACAGAATAACCTTTTATACTATCATAAATTTTATTTAACACACCTGCATCTCTTTCTGTAAGAACTTGTTGATATCTCAAAGACAACTCCAGAACTTCCTTTTCTGATATGAAGCTACTACGTTTTGCATTTTTACGTTTGGTTTCAGCAATTTCCTGAAATTCAATTCATTGAAGCATTATCTACATATCAAACCTAAAGAGAGTAAAAACCCAAGTTACATAGTTTAACATTCTTGTGGGCACTGAGTCCAACAAACCACTTTGTTTACCAATAAACAAAAAATAACTCTATCTGTGCATTCCGTATAAGCTGTGTAGGCGTCCAACATAGATTCCGAAATAGAAGAAAGCAGGAAAAAAAAAAAAGATGAAGAAGAAGAAGATAACTTTCTAGTAAGATGGAAAACAAAAGACCTTACTAGAGAAAAATTGGTATTACTAACAGGTTTTTTGTTTTGCAGAAGATCCACGCTTTCGGGTGAAGTTATTTCCTTCAGATTTTTTGAGCTTTTGTTCAGCCCTCCTTCAGTAGCTGCATAAGGGAAGGGCAACCAAGCAATAAAGACTGAGTAATACTGATGTTCTTTATGAGATCTAGCAATCAAAAGGAAAATGGACGAATGCCACAAATTTTCAAGAAACTTACATCTTTCTGTACTCTGACACACCTCTTTAGCTTCTCCTTTCACCTCACTGCCCTTGAGAACCCCAACTGCAGCCTCAGGAACAGAACTACTCGACCCGGGCATGACTAATCCACCTTCTACTGAATCCAACGATTCATCAAAACCATCTGTTTCAGCTAATGGCACCGGAAAAGTTCTCGGTTTCTGAGTTTTCCCAGTACCACTAGTGCTTGCATCAAAATCATTTGACACTAACTCTTCCTTGTAATCAGCCTTTTGCAGCTTTTCCTTCTCCAAATTTGGGGTGTGAGGAGCCAAAGGTGCTGTGGGACTATCAACAAACCCATCTGGCAGTGAATCCACTTCAGGAAGCTGATTCATTTCTGGGTTTTCCATTCTGCCAAACTCTCCCACCAAAGCACACAGTCACTCTACTACTAATAATAATAATAATAATAATAAACCAAAAAGGCCCCAACTTTAAGGGTCTTTATCGAGTTTAGACACTGCCCATATAATTACTTGTTAGCAATTTCAGAATTTCTGGGTTTTGGAACGATGAAGGAAGCATTATATGGGGAAAAATGAATATCAAAAACATACAATTAGATTTCTTAAGCACGAAATTAAATGCGAAGCAACAGACATTGCAAACACAGATTAAAATAGAGGAACGAAGAGAGGACATTCAAGAGAAAGAAAGAGATTATTACCAGTTCCTGCTTGAGTTAAGAAGAAGGAAATGAAAAGCAAAGGTTCTGTTGGTTTTCTTGTTTTCTTCTTCCTGCTTGATTGCTTTTGCACGAATTTGGGCTCAGGGCAAAGATCTTATATTGGGTATTAAAGAATGAAATAAAGCCCAAAGTATAAAAATTAATGGGGCATTCCGAGAATTGAACTCGGGACCTCTCGCACCCTAAGCGAGAATCATGCCACTAGACCAAATGCCCTTAGTTAAGAGACCTTTTTAATTTAAAATATTTAACGCCGTATTCATGACGAACACGCCCCTGCAAGGAGCGTCCATTCAGGTTCTCTCTTTGTACCCAATTTTGCTTCAATTCATCATTTTCATTTTTCACTTCCAAGATCTCTTTACCCGTACCCATCTATCTTTAGTAATTCCCATTCAAATAGACGGTGTGAATGTTTTTCTATCTCGCTGTGCTTCTGTTTTCTGGCTAGGAATCATCGGTGCCAGAACCACAGCTACCCTTCACTAGTTTTCTGCCACGACATTCACAGGCAGCTCAGGTTGCAGTTGCAGCCTGGTTCAGACCGCTTCGAGGTGGGGATAGATGCCTTGGCTGGCATGGCACAACATACATTCCCCGGCCCATCAAGTTTGCTGATATCCGGCCACCTCAGACCAGAAAGTCCTTTGTAAATTGTAACGTCTCCACTACCTCAGGTGAATAATTGATCTCCGTAAGAGGAGTTTTTTAAGGTTAGCTAATTGACATTCCAATACAATGTTAACGCTAAAATTTTGTAATTGTTCTTACAACCTGCCAACCTGAAGAGCCCTACGCCTATTGAAACAATGCAATTGATTTTGGGAAGAAAATAGAAAATTAATTTTCTTTGGAACACCAGGAAATTCAAACAACAAAACTGAAGTAAAGCATGGAAGACAAACAAAAAAGATAGGCAATTGAAAAACCCAAACTATATTATAAAATCATTAAACATCCTAGGAGCTCAAGGAAAGACCTAAAACTCCAGAGTAGTTTTAATATGACCGATGACAGTACAAAGTTTGTAAATCAACAGAACAGGATAGACGACACAGAATTCTCAAACAAAAGGATAGCCTCGCCACCGCCTGTCAAGAACCCAGTTCCGTGAACAGCCTCCAGGACAATATGGTGACGACTTAAAACTATAATGATCAAAACAAACCTTTAGACCTTTAACAGTTGGATTACTAGCAAGAACCCAATTTTTATTATGGTACCACCTATGGTAGCACCCACTGGAATAGAACAGACCCTGCACAATTCACTTGCCACCCTTCTTGGCAGCAGACTTGGTAACCTTGGCACCAGATGCATCCTTCTTCTCCACACTCTTGATGACACCAACAGCAACAGTCTGCCTCATGTCCCTCACAGCAAACCGACCAAGTGGAGGGTACTCAGAGAAGGTCTCCACAACCATGGGTTTGGTTGGAATCATCTTAACAAAAGCAGCATCGCCATTCTTCAAGAATTTGGGCTCCTTCTCAAGCTCCTTACCAGATCGCCTGTCAATCTTGGTCAAGATCTCAGCAAACTTAACAGCAATGTGGGAAGTGTGGCAGTCAAGCACAGGAGCATAACCATTTCCAATCTGGCCAGGGTGGTTCATAATGATGACTTGTGCCGTGAAGTTTGCTGCCTCCTTGGCAGGATCATCCTTGGAGTTTGAGGCAACATATCCACGCTTAAGATCCTTCACAGCAACATTCTTCACGTTAAACCCAACGTTGTCACCAGGCAAAGCTTCTTGAAGGGCCTCATGATGCATCTCAACAGACTTAACTTCAGTGGTCAACCCAGAAGGAGCAAAAGTGACAACCATACCAGGCTTGAGGATACCAGTTTCAACACGACCCACAGGGACAGTTCCAATACCTCCAATCTTGTAAACGTCCTGAAGTGGGAGTCGAAGAGGCTTGTCAGAGGGCCTCTTAGGCTCCTGGACCAAGTCAAGGGCCTCAAGAAGAGTTGGGCCCTTGTACCAGTCTAGGTTGGTGGACCTCTCAATCATGTTGTCACCCTCAAAACCAGAGATGGGGACAAATGGAATTTTCTCTGGGTTGTACCCAACCTTCTTCAAGTAGGATGAGACTTCCTTCACGATTTCATCATACCTTGCCTTTGAGTACTTGGGGGTTGTGGCATCCATCTGTTTCAAAAATAAATAGAGCATCACCAAAACAATCATTAAGGCACCAGAATGACAGTAACTAATGGACTCAGAATGATAAGAATTACCCTACCTTGTTACAACAACAAATCATTTGCCTAACACCAAGGGTGAACGCAAGGAGAGCATGCTCACGGGTCTGCCCATCCTTTGAAATACCAGCTTCAAAACCACCAGTAGTGGAGTCAATGATAAGAACAGCACAGTCAGCCTGAGAGGTTCCAGTAATCATGTTCTTAATGAAGTCACGATGTCCAGGTGCGTCAATGACAGTGCAGTAGTACTTGGTTGTCTCAAACTTCCACAAAGCAATATCAATAGTGATACCACGCTCACGCTCAGCCTTGAGTTTGTCAAGCACCCAAGCATACTTGAATGACCTCTTGTTCATCTCAGCTGCCTCCTTCTCGAATCTCTCAATCACACGCTTGTCAATACCACCAAGCTTGTAGATCAAGTGACCAGTGGTTGTCGACTTTCCAGAGTCGACATGACCGATGACAACAATGTTAATGTGAACCTTCTCCTTACCCATGATGCAGCCTTAGTTTTCACCTGCACCAGAAATACAAAACAAATCAAAACAAAAGTCAAGAAAAAATTTTTTTAAAGACCTCAAAAAATCCATCAAAAAACTAGTACTCTATCCATGATCTAAACCAGCATCAACTATAACGAAGAACAATTTCTCATCAACTGCAACCAACGAGATCTCATCTACATAGAAATCTAAAAGATCCATGCTATTAATCTTCAAGAACAAAAACAATATCAACCCGCAGGTCTTCGAAACAGGGTGTGAGAATCAAAATTACAACAAAAAAACAAAGAACAACATCCACTTCAATCGAGAAAAAGAATCGCAGTGACTACTCCAGACATACTAAATCGAAGAAACAATCAATCAAGTTCCAGTAATAAGAAATGGAGGAGGAAGAAGAAGAAGATCGTGATCTTGAAACGAACCTGAGGAGGGAGTTTGCTTCGGTAAAACCCTAGCCGCTGGGGTAGAGATAAGGGAGGATGTTGGGTTTGGACGGCGGCGATCGCCCACCTTTTATATCAGATCTGTTGGAAATTCGTATTTCCCAAAATGCCCTCATATGCAGTCATTTATTCCCGACATTTTCCTTTGTTACCTAATAAAATGACGGTGAATGGTTGGTACGTTGACTTTACGCGCC